CGGAGGAGATGGATTGCTTAAGTTTAGAGTTTGGAGTTAGAGATATTAATATTTGTTTACTTGTAGTTGAATGTTAGCCTAGGTTTGGTTTGGGAAGTCTGGGGGGTAGGGGGATGGGATAAATCATTGTGTAATACTTGTGATGTATTTTTTTGTTTATGATAAAAACAATAAAATTCTATATTGAAAAAAAAAAAGAGAAGGACTCTGAAATAATGTTTAGCTTTTTTGGTTAAAAGTCTTCCATAAATTAATATGATTAACTTTTTTATATAATTCTATTTGTGTACAGTGGATAAAAGAAAAATCTGAACTCTGCACTTAAATGGTACAGTTTGATATACAAAACGTTCTCTGCATTATAATATATGTGAAAGGCAGAGAGAATTTAGTGGTTTTACAATGAGAGTTCTGTTTGTCAGTAACCTGACTCCAACATTAAGTCAGGATGTAACGTCTATGGCTGGTACTTTGTTGGTTAAAGTTGCACAACATTGCTTTAGAGGAGCTGTATTCTTCATTGCTTGGATTAAGAAAACATAATGGTTTTCCTTGCTTCTACCCACCCAGGTCCAAAATATTATGTAATGCCAAAAAGGAAAGTTTATGTTTTAAAAACAGATTCTAGACTAATGGATTCTGCAGCCTGAACAAGTTTGAAAGATCTAATCTAAGCTGACAGGCTGTAAAGAACTCATACTAAAACCCATACTAAAATCCTAAAAGGCAGAGCAGGAACACCATCTGAAGCTACAGTCTGATTAATCTGCAGATGTCACAATCTTTTTAACTAATTTGTCAATATGGCCCAACACCCACAATTTTACAGTCAGATGTTCAATTTATTTATTTATTATTTAAATTTATATACCGCCCTATCTCCCTTACGGGACTCAGGGCGGTGAACAGGCAATAATAAAAATCACAATAAATATTAAATAAAAAGCCTGCTCTAAAATACCCCATATAAAAACCCCTACCAAAACACAATCAGAACTACGCCAAGCCGGCCGCATGGAATAGATGGGTTTTCAAGGCTCGGCGAAAGAGGCGCAGGTCCGTAGGTCGGGGGGTAGGTCATTCCAGAGGGCAGGAGCTGCCACAGAGAAGGCTTTCCCCCTGGGGGTCGCCAGCCGGTATTGACTGGCCGACGGCACCCTAAGGAGGCCCTCTCTGTGGGAGCGGACTGGTCGAAGGGAGGTATTTGGTAGGAGGCGGTCTTGCAAATGCCCAGGAAAGCCCACAAATGTTTGTGATTAATGAAGAAGGCAAAAGACTCTGTACTATATAAGTATACTGCCAGTTTTTATTACATCCAGCCCCAGATTTGGGGCCAAATACTACAGCTTCAAAAAACCATCCCTTCTCAAACCATCAGAAGGCTATACCATTTACCTCATCAAACCACTAATGGCATCCTCCCACATAATATGGCCTTTTTGCATCTGTCAACCTGTTGATTTCAGTAAATAGCCATGACTCAAACCCTAGTGCCTAGGTCTCATGTAGCATACACACGAGACACTTCTTGGGTGGCTGCCATTGAAATTAAAAGGAAATTAGGGATTGCATAACTTACAACCATTCTCAGGGGTTGCCATAAAGAAGAGGGAGTCAAGCTATTCTCCAAAGCGCCTGAAGGCAGGACAAGAAGCAACGGGTGGAAACTAATCAAGGAGAGAAGCAATCTAGAACTAAGGAGAAACTTCCTGACAGTGAGAACAATTAACCAGTGGAACAACCTGCCTCCAGAAGCGGTGAATGCTCCAACACTGGAAGTTTTTNTATTATTATTATTATTATTATTATTATTATTATTATTATTATTTAATGACCTTTCAATTTACGATGGTGCTGAAAATAGTGATTACGACTGGTCCTCACACTTAAGTCTCTCACAGTATCCCCATGATCACATGATAAAAATTTGGCCACTTGGCCACTAGCATGTATTTACATGCAGAAATCCAGGGGAGTCACATGATCACCATTTGCAACCTTTCCAGGGAGCAACAAGCAAAGTCAATGGGAGAAGCCAGATTTTCTTAATGATGATGTCCTAGTTCCTAAAATCAGGCATGACTCACTTAACTGTATCGCTTAGCAATAGGTTCCAGTCCCAATTGTGGTCATAAGTTGAGGACAACCTGTATAATGGTTGGATTTGCAAATTTCAATAGGATAGTTGGTGGCTCAGTGTATTGTGTGAACCTAGCCTGTGAAATTAATTTATATTTAATGTTTTGTGTTGATATTTATTCTGACATCTCAAAGATTGAGTTTGTTCATTCTAAATTCCTAAGAAATATTGTTAAAATGCTTTGGTGTGTGCTTGGTGTTTTTCATATGGAACATCTTCAGTTATATATGTATATATATTGTGTGTGTGTGTGTGTACATGCCCTTGAATCAGTTTTTGACTATTGGTTATTGCATGGACTAATCCCTGCAGTTTATTTGGAAAAGTTTTTTCTGAAATGGTTTGCCATTACCTCCTTCCTATGGCTGAGAGAGATTGACAGACCCAAAGTTACCCAGGTCCAAAGGCTGGTTTTATGCCTAAGGCACGACCTTAATTCATGGTCTGCTGGTTTCTAGACTGATGTCATAACCACACCACCAAACTGGCTGTCTTCAAATTTTGGTTAAGTCTTGATATTTTCCTTGTAGGCTGGGTCTATATGTATTCGTTAACCCTTTTATCTCCAAATGGAAAAAAAAAGGACTGGAGCAGAAGCTATACCATTATGGCTTCTCTCCTTGTACACTAATGACAGTGAAATACTTGGCAAGGAAGAACCTCAGGCAACAAATATCTGATATGGAGCATTAAATTGAGCATAGCTTAATTCTTACCAATGTCTTCAAAAAGATGTCTCTGGAAGGGAGGCTCCAGAAAATCCTATATCATAAATACCTTTGCCAGTGTAAAGTATTAATTATATTTCATATATTTGCTGTATAGGTAATCCCCAATTTATAACCATTTGATCAGTGACTGTTCAAAGTTAGGACAATGCTGAGAAAATAGACATGACCCTTACCCAAATTTACAGCTGTTGCAACGCCTTCACGGTCACGTGAACAGGCATGTGTCAGCCCACCCACTCTTATGACTAGAGTTGTGCTTTAACCTCTTGCCTACCTGCTCCCATTTTGGCCACTCTATACCCCACCTTGCCTCCCATCAACTGCATAACTCTGAGGCTTCTTGCCACACCTCCATCTACTCCAGCAAGCAGCAGCAAACATTAGTTTGTCCAACTACCTTCTCTCCCAGTTCCCCACATCAATTTTTCACTAAAGGCTTTCCAAAGACAGCCCAGCCTTCTAAAGGCAGTTCAGTCTTCTGAAAACTGCACTATCTTTTGTAGATTTTTAAAGGCTCATGAAGCCACATAGACACTAGAGAAAACTGCTTGCTGTTATTTTTAATTGCAGTTTAATATAATACATGTTAGAATTTAGTGCTGTATAAAAATGTCACTCTTGTCAGGAGGGATAAGTAATTTGTTCTTTTTTTTCCCCTTCATAGCAGAAACATGTACAGGAATATGGAAAAATTTTCAAGTCTCATTTTGGTCCCAAACTAGTTGTGTCCATTGCAGATAAAGACATGGTGGGTCAGGTTCTACGGGAAGAAGGTTGCATGCCACAAAGAGCTGACATGGATTCCTGGCAGGAATATAGAGCTTTACGGGGACGAGCTACAGGACTTATATCGGCGTGAGTGCATTCACATTTTTTGGGGGTATTGTCAAACAATATTCTAACTGTATATTCTTCTTAAGCCTAGTGATGCAACTGTTCTCAATTAACGTATTTTATTAAAGAATCTACTTATAATATGATTATATCCCTAGGAGTTTGGTGTTGGTAAATGCCTATAGGGAATAATTAATCAGAATAAGAGTAATTTTTGATGCAGTGTGGTTTTTCAGAAGAAAGCCAGTCCCTTCCTGAGTCACAGTACTGTTCTGTTTTCATGGAATAAAATTGTAGCAGCTAAGTACTTTATATAGTGAGAACCAGAATATGCTTTAGAAAATGTCAGCAAAATTTAAATGAAACTGTATGTAGTAACACAAAGATCCCAATTCTGTAATTCCACAAATGGCACATTCAGTTTATTTTGGTTAACCACAGAGTCATTTGTTGTTAGAACTGCAGTTACAGTTTAGTCACCCTACAGACATTTTAAGACCCATTAAAATCAGTAGCATATAAGCCCAGATAACCTCTAGGATTACTCATAATAAGCATGCAAATTTAGTTAAATTTAAAAGATCAGCATTTTCCATTTTATTATTATTATAAAAAAGAATTCTGGTCAAGTTAACTTTCAGGGATTTTAGTCAAAAGAAGACTAAAAGATGTTGTTCTCCCCCTTTCCCCCAAAAAAGAAATATGTGAATGGGAAAGCGCAGGAATCAGCACAGTTTTGAAGTGCAGTGGATGAGCCTCATTCTAGCAAAACCTTGATTACTCTTCCTTACTCTTCTAAAGCTATGTTAAAAACTTTACAAATATTTTTATTACTTCTATTCTCAATATACTTTTAAAATTTTCTACTGTGGACTTCAGTCCAATCTTTTGACAGTTTTTCCCTCATCTGCTACAGTTTTTAGAAACATAGAGTCAGTTATGTTGTTTTGCACAACGATCAGATGGCATCTTCTTCCCATTTTCCAAATAAAAAAAGGGCTAGTGATATTTCTACTTATCTTTCTCCCAGAAAACAAAATAATTAGGCCCTGGACTCAGATGAATATTTTGCAGATTACGGTATCTAGTAAGGCAGCATTACTTCCAAGAATATATATCTCACCATCAGTTTCTGGATCAACTTGTGATTTGCAGACAACATGCAATAACTACATGCAATAACCCTGTAGTAGTCCCTAAAGCACTCCAAATTGTGATGTTGAAACTCAGTAGCAAAATGGTATATTTACTACAGTCAGCCTGGAAAGTGAATTTTTGTTATAAAAATAATTAGACCACCTCTAAAAACCTTTTTCCTCTAATTGTTCATGGCCTATGTTTAGAAGGCAGAAGCATTTGGAGATGGAGCACTGATTTAAAGATGATCTTGGTTTTCAGAAAGATTTATTTGGATATAATACATCATGAGGATGAGATCATCTAAAAGAAATTACTGAACTGTTTAAAAAATGATTTTGGATTGTGTTTAGAAAAGTACTAGAATCTAGGCACCTACCAAAATTCTTGAGCAAACTTGGGAGATATTTTTCATGTTCACTTTTATTTCAATTTCCCACTGAATAGCATCAGTGGTAGCATAATTCTGATAGCATCACAAGGAAAAGAACTTGATTTAAAAAATAAAAACCTCTGGTATATTTTTTCCAAATCTCATTACATTACTAGTATAAGGGGAAGAGATGTGTTTCTTTACCTGACAAGATTCATAACTTAAGGGTAGAGGCATTCCAATAAAAAGCCAGTAATAAGATTTAATCATAAGTCACATAAATGTTTAATAAAGCATTTTTTACATTAGTCTAATCATTTTGTACAAATATTACCCTCCAGAAAGACTTTAAAGTACGGTTACATTTCCATTTACTGAAAATTTTGATTTTATTTTTGACAGAAAAAATGTGATTTAAATTATCCTTACCTGTTATTTCTTCTAGAGAAAGGGAGCAATGGTTAAAAATGAGACGTGTACTAAGACAAAAAATGGTAAAGCCCAGTGATGTTGCGATTTTCTCCAGAGGAATTAATGAAGTTATTTCAGATTTAATTAAGAGAATCCATATTCTTAGAAATGAAGAAGATGGGGAAACTGTGACAAACGTTAATAGTCTTTTTTTTAAATATTCAATGGAAGGTAAGAGTCATCATTTTTAAATGAGGGATAAAAGCTTAAACCGTGTGATTATATCAGTGATTATTATCAATTGAAGACACTGCTACAACATGCAAACAAGAGATGGAATATCCTAAAAATCAGGGGTAGGCAATTTGGGATTGTCTACTTATTAGAGATTATCATTTCCATAAGCCCTTGCCAATAGCCATAGTTATGAGAGATTCTAGAGAAAAAGATGGCAGAATTAATGAGTTATTTAACAAATGGAGTTCGGTATGGGTTGCAAAAAGCTCAAGGTGGAGAGCGCCAAATCTTTCAGAGACTCCACCTTAATAAACTCACTAAAAAGAATGCTGGAGGTACCTACCATCTGTATACTGGTCATTCAGCAACAATTCAAAGTTATGACAGACCCCCCCCTCCCAAAAAAAGCTATATATAATCTGGTCCTGAAGTTAAAGTTGCTGCAGCGTCCCTGTGTTTGTTTGCTTTTACGACTGACTATAGAGATGTTGCAGCACCCCATCTATTTCTTTGGATCTGTTTCCCACCTTACTGGGCCCCACATCCTCCTCCTTACTTGCCTTTTGAAGATCTCTGAAACTCTGGAATTTGGATTAGGAAGGAGGACAGGCTGTTCAATTACTAGGCTATGTGGCACAATCCCAGAAGTGACTGCAATTTTCTAAATGGCCACATGGTGAGCACCATGCAACAGTTCCCTAACTCAGCTCTGCAGCGTGCCACAGCCTTTTGCGGTGTTCAACAACACTGCGGAATGCTGTGGCACTCAGGTTAGAGAAGCATAACAAGTTGCTTTGTTGCTGGGCTGTGTGGCAATCATTCCGGAAGCAATCACCATTTTCTAAGTCAGCGGTTCTCAACCTATGGGTCGCGACCCCATTTGGGGTCGATCGACCATTTCACGGGGGTCGCCAAGCAAGGCTGTCCGTCATTTTTTTCCCCTTTTCCGGCGGGTGCCTTACCTCCCTTGAGCTGGGCCAGCTGTTGGTCGGCCTGCTCCGTCTCTGCCGCTTGCCAGCTACGCCTCGGCCGGTGCAGGGGGCAGAACCACGCATGCGCGACGCTCCCGGGCAGGGAAAGTCCTCGACTTACGACCAGTTGGGTAGTCCTCAACTTACGACCAGTTTAGTCCTCGACTTACGACCGGTTTAGTCCTCGACTTACGACCGGTTGGGGGTTGCGGCATTAAAAAGGTTGAGAACCACTGTTCTAAGTAGTCACATCGGAAGTACTCCTGTTGCATAGTATAGTTTTGTACATTATTCTGCAAAGAAAAACAATACATTCTGCATTACTTTGCCCGTATAGGAGTTGCAACTGTTTTGTATGAGTGTCGGTTGGGTTGCCTGGAAAATCACATTCCCAAGAGTACACTGGAATATATTGAAGCATTGGAGTTGATGTTTAGCAGTTTCAAATCTACTATGTATGCAGGAGCTATTCCCAAGTGGCTTCGTCCAATTATTCCAAAACCTTGGAGAGAATTCTGTAGATCATGGGATGGACTCTTTAAATTTAGTAAGTGTTCTTGTTTTTTAAGATTGAAATTCAGATATAATTTATGTTAGCTAAAGAAAGTCAAATGTGACTCTTCAAACAACCTGAAATACTGAATCTAATTATAAATATTAATTTTCTTAAATTATGTCTAAAATTGAAATTAAAGCCAGATCTTCTGCCCTAATTGTAAACATATTTATTGCAGCAACAATCAAAATACCATATTTTAATCTATGTTGAAAAAAATCAGAATTTGGCTAACAATACATAAATATATTATTTGTACAGTTATTATTGTAAAGCTGTTATTCACCCACTTTCAGCCTTTCTTGTAATGAAAGTAACCTTTATCCTTGTTTTTTTTTAATAAGCAGAAAATAATTTCCCAATCTTTCTCCATTATTCATTTTTTTTTCTATTCAGACATCATATTGTGACCCTCCAAATTCTTTCATGGTTTCTTGTTTCTTGCTTTTTTGTGTGTGCATTTCAAGTCAGGTTGGACAAATTATATTTACTACCGGTATTAATGTTTAAATAATCTGAAGTGGGTTTTTTTTCAATGTCACAGCAAACTCTAGAGGGAGATGAAAATGGAAGTGAAATGCATACTCAAATAGGCAAACCTTTCTTCATACAATATTTTAATATACAGAAGTAAAAAATGTCTCCCTTTTTTTGGCCTCCATAGAGTGTGTGGCACTTTTTTTTGAGAGACGGTGATTGGATATTACTTTAGGACTTAAGGAACCCTATACATCTTAAAATTCCTTTTATGTATGGATCCTGTCTTTGCTAACATTCAGATTTTGGCTGTTGCCTTACCAAATAAAGTCTGTCGTAGTGCAATGTTGCGACAGTGTCAACTATTAAGATACTAATATGCTAAAAATGGGAGGAATAAAAACTGATTAATCCACTAAAATACAGTAATTTACAATGGCTGGGTAATATAAAAATATAATTAGACATCTGTGCTAGTACCTCTTTATTCCAAACTGGAAATGCCTTGCCAAAGAATATTATTTCTTTTTTCCATGCATAAAGCATGTAACCTTTATATGAAAAGGCCTTTTATGGTTAAATTGACATGGGAAAAAAAAGTTGACTCTTTTTGAGTTTTAGGGTTTCCAACTGTTTTGGTCTTTAAAGATAAGTACCAGAATTTTGAATTAAGTTCAGTAGCGTGTAAAGTGGCACAGTTTAGTTTGGACAGAGTGATAATGGTAATAATCCACATTCTGGTACCTCTAGAATAGATTACTAGAATAGATTACGTTCTGATTTTAAACAATATCATTGGACTTATTTGCTAGCTTCAATTGCATACAGATAGTCCTCAACTTCTGACCACAATTGAGCCCAAAATTTCTGTTGCTATTATTAAGTGAGTTTTGCCCCATTTTACGACATTTCTTGTTACTGTTAAGTGAATCACTGCAGTTGTTAAAGTAGTAGCACGGTTGTACACATGTAATCTTGCAAGTTCTTGATTCTTATCATAATAGAAATTGAATTATCCCAAAGGTGCTGTTCCAAAAAGCAACTGGAATTTCTTGGGTTTTTTCCTTGAAAATGTTTTGCATCTTATCCAAGAAACTTTTTCAGTTCTGGATAATTGAGAATCTCCATAGACAGAAATTAAATTCTTTTCCAGCATTGAAGATAGTAAGACATTTAACATTTTTAAAGTAATTGAAGTAAATATATTTTTTAAAACCCTACTTTATAAACAAGAGATAATAGCCTAAGAAGTTATATTTCAAAGTTTGATAAACATTCTTTGTTTTTTCTTCTCTTTTAATCACCAAGGTCAAATTCATGTTGACAATAAAATAAATGAAATAAAGTCCCTTTTAGATCAAGGAAAAAAGATAAAAGGTGGATTACTCACAACTCTGCTTAGGAGAAAAGAGCTTACAATAGAAGAAATTTATGCCAATATGACTGAAATGCTTTTGGCAGGTGTTGACACAGTAAGTTCATTATTTATTTTCTATGTTTCTGGATATCCATGCCCCAAAGTGTCTTATATGCAACATAAATAAAAATAAAAATACAATAAATGTTATTTTAAAATAAATCTTTTACCTTTTAATATTAAATTTATTTTATACTTATCTAAATGGATAAATTAGGGCATTATTTTACATAGTAAAGTTTGGGTCTTCTATTCTCACTATGGACATATTTTTTTCTTTTAATGCACACATGAATGGATTGTAATAGATAATTTTCACTGACATGGCACACTTTGGGTAGCCTGTTTCTCTGAAGTTCAAGGTACACACACACACGTACGTTATATGTATGTAGAAAGAGGCCCTTAAAAATGCAACTGTATATAGGAGGTTTCCATGGAAGCCGGGATTTAACAGTAGTCTGCTTTTTATCAGAATGTTTGTACTAATAAATATAGGCACAAAGCATTTTTTATTTTATTTTTATTTTATTCAAAAGAAGTTAAAATACAAACTTCAAAATTTTTTTTTAAGAAACAAAGAAAAAATACAACCCAAACAAGACATTTAAAAAGTGCATTAAAAAAAGAAACAAACACATAAACACATATTATCGCCCCTAGCTGAATACTAATTAATATATTACAACAATATTAATTTCTCATCCCTTGCAAAATGCCCCCCAAATTTTAAACTACTAATTCTATTTGCAAGTTATTAATCTGTCATCTATATAGTATATTAATGACAAAATAGTTAACAGAAAGAACAATAATAATAAAAAAGACAGCATTCAAGTTTAAAAACCATCTGTTAACGAATTGTTATTGTAGTCAACTCATTGAAAATTTACCACAGTTTCTTATATATCCCAAATCATCCCAAATGTTAACACTGATTCATCCTGGATCAATATCCATATTTGTTTCTTAATGCAATCTCTTATCAATTGTTGTCTGGTTAAATATAATAAGTCCAATCTCCAAAGTTGATCTATCTTCCCAAAAATGCCTAGATGAAATTGCTTTCCAGTTAAGGCTGATAAATTTCCCAATCTCCCTTCTATCGTCTTAAGGAATAGCAATTTAACACTTATCCACTCAGTCAGTTTTCTGCTGTTGTAAAAGAATACAGGCTTGAACTTCAGGGAAGCATGTGCAATAAATTCTAAGTCTGTAAAGTCCATTATTTCTTTCCAGTGAATCTGCTACTTTCAGAAAAAACAGTCCAACCTATCAAAAACAGTACCGTAAAAAACAGATTAGAAACACAACAAGAAAATGGTAAGAGAGCACCTGTCCACCCTAGATGAGTTCAAATCACCAGGAGCAGATGAATTACACTCCAGGTTCTGAAGGAACCGGCAGATGTGATCTCAGAACCACTGAACTATATCTTTCAAAGATCCTGGAGCATTGGGGAACTACCAGAGGACTGGAAAAGAGCTGAAGTAGTTCCCATCTTCAAAAAAGGAAAAAAAATGGATCCAGGAAACTACAGACCTAACAGCCTGACCTCAATACCTGGGAAGATTCTGGAAAAGATAATTAAACAACGAATCAGCGAACACCTGGAGGCAAACAAAATCATTACCAAAAGCCAACATGGGTTTGTCAAAAACACATCATGCCAGACAAATCTTATTGCATTCTTCGACCAGGTGACAAAATTAGTGGACCAGAGGAATGCTGTGGATTTAATTTACTTGGACTTCAGTAAGGCATTTGATAAAGTAGAACACAATCTATTACTTGATAAGATAGAAAAATGTGGGTTAGACAGCATCACCACCAGATGGATTCATAGCTGGCTGACCGGCCGTACTCAGCATGTGGTCCTCAATGGAATTGCATCTACATGGAGGGAAGCGTATAGTGGTGTGCTCCAGGGCTCTTCAACATCTTTATCAATGATTTGGATGAGGGGATAGTTGGGGAACTCATCAAATTTGCAGACAACACCAAGCTTTCAGGAATAGCCAACACTCCAGAAGATAGGCTTAAGATACAGAAAGATCTTGACAGACTTGAACATTGGGCGCTAGCTAACAAAATGAAATTCAATGGTGAAAAAAGTAAGGTTCTACATTTAGGCAAGAAAAACCAAATGCACAGGTACAGTATAGATGGTACCTTGCTCAATAGTAGTAACTGTGAGAGGTATCTTGGAGTCCTAGTGGACAATCACTTAAATAAGAGCCAGCAGTGTGCTGCAGCTCCAAAAAAACCAACACAGTGCTAGGCTGCATTAGCAGAGAGATAGAATCAAGATCACGTGAAGTGTCAATACCACTTTATAGTGCCTTGGTAAGGCCACACTTGGAATACTGCGTCCAGTTTTGGTCACCATGATGTAAAAAAGATGTTGAGACTCTAGAAAGAGTACAGAGAAGAGCAACAAAGATGATTAGGAGGCTAAAACATAAAGAACAGTTGCTGGAATTGGGTATGTCTAGTTTAATGAAGAGAAGGATGAGGGGGGACATGATAGCAGTGTTCCAATATCTCTGGGGTTGCCACAAAGAAGAGGGAGTCAAGTTATTATCCAAAGTACCTGAAGGCAGGACAAGAAGCAATGGATGGAAACTAATCAAAGAGAGATTAAGGAGAAATTTCCTGACAGTTAGAACAACCTGCCTCCAGAAGTTGTGAATGCTCGAACACTGGAAGTTTTTAAGAAGAGACTAGACAACCATTTGTCTGAATTGGTGTAGGGTTTCCTGCCTGAGCAGGGGTTTGGGCTAGAAGATCTCCAAGGTCCCTTCCAAATAATAATAATAATAATAATAATAATAATAATAATAATAATAATAATAATAATAATAATAATAATAATAACAACAACAACAACAACAACAACAGCAACAACAACAACAATAATAATAATAATAATATCACAATCCTTTTGTGAATCTGATTTATCTCCAGTTATATGCATCTGAATATTTTCCGCAACTATTATTTCATCAAACTTTTAAAAAAATCTTTCAACTGGGGATTGCATGTTTGGATAGGCAGTAAATAATATGAACTGGGATCGGCCACATGTATTGGAATATGAAGTACCCAAGCCATATCAAAGCAAAATAAAGGAAGAACTCTCCAAATAGTTGTTCCCTCTAGAGAACCTATATTTAATACTGCTTTGATTGTTTCTAAAATTAGATTCATTGGTAAAAATAAATACCACAATTAGATAATGATTTGGTAAAGGTAGACTTGAAATATTAGGAACAATAAACAATTCTGCCTCTGTTGCTGCAGATAAATACCATGAAATTAAATAAGGAATGCAATTCATTTTAGTAAAAGTAAAGATAATTTATTTTGCTTTACAGTGATGCATATATTAGAGACTTGAATTTATATTTCTTTTTGATAACACTTATTAAAGTATGAGCAAAAAATCTTATACTGTTTCATTGAAAAAAATCTACATCTGACAGTTAAATTCACTCAGAGCTAAAGCCTGAAAAAAACAATAGGAAGTTGGGCACTAGAATAAAATAAAAATATTTGTTGTATCTCAAGCAAGCTTTTATGACAATAATCATAAAATATGAATATAATAAAATTCTGGTCACCAGTTATTTCATTTGTTTTAATTATAATTGCTTTGGGTGAAATATTTTTGTATATAATAGTTTTTTGTACACATTTGTACACTTTTGTTCAAGTTGGGCAGCCATATAAATGCTATAAAACAATCAATTTTTTAAGCTATAATCCCATGCAAAGGGAATTAGATTCTTTGAAAATCAAACTTATAAAAGATTGGCAAGACAAACAAAGGTTGTGTTGTTTGAGAAAGTATCTGATAATTATTTGATACCATGATCGATACACAGTTTGGTCTCTCCAAATGTATAATATAAGATTGGTTGAAAATGAAAAATGCTCTTATTTAATGAATAACACCACTTCCCCCCTCCTTCCCTCCTTCTCTTCTCTCCTCATCCCAACTCTCTTCAAGACTTCATTCACTTTATCCTGGGCAACATATCTTTTAGCAAAGCATCCAGAAGTGCAGGATTCTATCTATAAAGAGATAGTTCACAATTTGGGAAAAGATAAAGTTCCTGATGCTCACCATATTCCCAACTTGCCAATGATTAGAGCCCTTCTCAAAGAAACCTTAAGGTGAGTGTATAAAAGTGTAAGATTTCTTATTACAAGCCTTCTTTTTACAACAGGTTGGATCTAGACTGCACGCTAATAAGAAAAGACATATAGCTTCAATATACTATATTTTTATATTTAAATCAAATTCAGTTGATTCCATTGTCCTATTTTACTTGCCTTTTTCTTTAGTCTTCATATTGGAATAGTTTGAGTTGTAATTGTTACACTATTAGTTTTTTTAAAAAAATGATAAAGAAAAATGTGATAAATAATGTATGATTGGACAGCTATACATACTTTTAATAGTAAACCCTTGAGAATATATGAATTTGAGATAGCATGCTATTTATTAGATAGAGCCATTCAACTGACTAGTGACTGAAGGTGGCTTACAAAGAGTTGAAACATAAATTGACAAATCAATAGTACCAAAGCAAAACAGCAGTTGTCCTGAGGAAGATTAAAATTTAAATTCATGAACACTCCAGCATGTACAAATCTTCCTAGCCCAGTGTTTGCCACAAGAACCATATTTTTAAAGTCTTCTTAGCATTAGGGCCCCAGGACCTTAATCTTATTATGGCTTTGGAGCCAGAAAAAGGGTCTAGGGCCTTAGGGAAATGCTATTCCTAAGGGAAGGCTTAGTGACAGAAAAGATGTACTGCTTGGGTTCAATAAAATGGCACTCTTTATTGATGGACCTGGAAGATGCTAACCCTGTCCGATCTTATAGGCTAGGAAAAGATAATTGGGAAATGGTGATTCCACAAATATACAGACACTAAGCGACAAAGGGTTTTATAGGTGTCTATCAGCAATTGAATGTAGAAGCCAACTAGCAAACAGTGCAGCTCACAGAGTAATGGCAAACACTTAGGTTTACCGATAGTTTTACTGTAGGGGCTGCAGTATTCTGAACCTGCTGTAGCTTCCAAGTTGTCTCAAGGACAAACTGATGAACAGTGCATTGCAGTAATCCAAACAAGAGATAGGTAAAAATTGAGTGATGATGAGAATCCGGAATTGATACACAAGGTGGATTTGTGCAAAGGCTTTCCTAGCTGCAGTTGCCACCTGCGTTTTGAGCACAAGTTGAGAATCCTAAAGGATTCCTAGATTACACACCAGTTCTCTCTGTGGAAATGCAGTCCCATCTAGAACTAAAGCTGGAAACAGGATAGTCACTCAGACTTACTAGAGATTAGCCTAAGCCATTGCACTCCATTTATTTCCTAATAGGCTCTAGGCACTGTGGCAGAATCTTAGATTATTTAAAATAATACACAAAGTAGCACATAATGTGTCATTAGAGAAGTTACTAAGATTGCCAATAAACTATACCAACCAGCTTGCCAGAGTGGCAAGCAAGAATAAACAAGTAATTAGAGGGTAGGGAATTAAAATTTAAAAGTAAGAGCTTCCTGTTTAATTAGAATTTGTCAGCTTTTTTATTGTGAAATTTGGTTGGAAGCTTTCTACACAAGAGTCGAGTAGAATAGAGTAGAGTAGAGTAGAAGAATGGACTGGACTGGACTAGACTAGACTAGACTAGACTAGACTAGACTAGACTAGACTAGACTAGAATAGAATAGAATAGAATAGAATAGAATAGAATAGAATAACAGGGGACTTCCGGTGGCAGGCGATTTCGCTGGTCGCAGCTGTTTGCTGCCTCCCGCCTGTTTTGCGTAAAAGCCGGTTTGACAGCCAGCATCAGCTGTCAAACGGCTTGATACCTTTCCCCTGGGCATAAGGGGATAGGTGAGCTGCCCGGGGTAGGAGTTGAGTTCCCGAGTCGTCCTATATGGACGATGTAGGCGAGNAGAAGTGAAAGTGATTTCCGGTTTGAAATTTTTCTTACTTTGAATCTGCGTATTACTTGTTTTTACTGAACTGCTTAACCTTATTGCTAATATGGTTCTGAGAAAAATCCTGCCTCTAACTTTGAGACCGTCTACATCCCTGATGGCTCAGACATCTCAACTAACTTCTGAAACTTTCCATTTGTCACCTCCGTTATCTTCTTCACCTCCACCGTTTTTTGTTAAAGAGCTGCGCAACTTGATCTCCGCAATGGCTGAGATGTTTCAATCGTTTGATGTTAAATTTCAAAATAGATGTGATCAAGTGATGCAACAACAACAGGATTTATTACAAAGGCGAGGTTTATCACAGAAACAGGAGGATCTCTGCTTGAATGTTACAACTGCTTCTCAAGATTTGATTGAACAAGTGGATCCGGTGGTAGATGATGAAACTTATCTACACCCTGAAGAGGCTATATTAGAACCTTACATTGACTTTTCAAAAATGAATAAAATTGTGGAACAAGGAATAATAGAAGAGAGATTGAGTAACCCTGAACAGGCTTTTATATATCAAGATATACAATTTGAAGAGTCAGAGCAATTTAATTGTGAATCTATACTGGGACTAAATGTGGAAACTATTAGGCAAACTAACTTTATACAAAGTTATTTGGACTTATTTCAATTGCTAAAAATAACAAAGATTGATATCCAGACTATATTGGCAGAAAAGGGAGATAATTTTGTTCAGTTTCAAGTGATTAAGCTTTGTAACCAAGTCTTGAGGTTTGATAATCGAAACGCTTTAATATTAATTTGGTATAGAAAAAAAGCCAAAGTTAGATATAAATATGACATTAAATGTTACTGGATGGGTTAAAAATGTCTTAAAGGTTTTTTTTTTCTGATTTAATGACGAAGGAAGACTATTATAAATATGATTATGCTGTAACAATTGAATTTGTTTGATTTAACTATGAATGGATGGGAATTAAGGTCCTAAATGTTTTAAAGGGTTTTTTTTTTAGGAGGTGGACTTATTGTTAATGCTTAAATAATTGAAGGATAATTAAGTAATTGAAGTTGTAAACCTTATTAAGGGTCTAAAATGATCTTTTATAGGTGTAGCTTGATGAAATGATAGAATCTACTTGTTAACTTTATGGAAGTGGGAATTTTTTCTTTTTTTTTTCTTGCTGAAATGGTAAAGATTTTGGGTATCTGAAGAATTAATTAAAGGAATAATTTTTATTAAAAGGAAGATTATTATAAATATAATAATGCTGTAATAATTGAAAACAATTGAATGATAATTAAGTAATTGAAGTTGTAAACCTTATTAAGGGT